TTGCTAGGGACTTGCCCGGCACTTGCTCTCTACCTCTATTTGTTATCTTTCTTCTATCATTGACAGTCCCTCTAGGTTGTGGGCTGCTTGCCTGTGTTCCTGAGAAGCATCTACGGTACCAGTCTATAGAGTGTGTTTTCTTTAGTGAATTACCGGTATGTTTACCGGTAATAAACTTGCACTGTTTTATGTATATGTTTGATTACATACAGCCTTGTGACAGTTTTCCTGCATGTCATAAGCATTTGAATATAAATTAAAATGTTAAAATCAAATCTGATATTGTTTTACCTTTTATTTGGTGTGTGGAAGGTGTGCGGAAGAGGGGGTAGTCTTATACGGCGAGTATATAACAAACTCTGTATTTTGAGTGGAAATGTTAGGGGGTCGTCTTATACGCCCAGTCGTCTTATACGCCGGCAAATATGGTACATTATTAGGATTACAAAATTTACAGGTCAATTCATTATTAGCAAATCCAATAAAAGTAACCTCTGTTACTCATCTTTGTACTTCTTGTAAATAGTAGAGAAACCAGTTACATTTAATAAATGTCAATGCATGAAGCTTTCCAAGAAATATTAAATCTTTCTGTAAACTAATGTTGAAATATGCAGCTGTTGTTACTTTGAAAAAATTTCTAGAGAATTCAACAGAAGGGGGAAGAAATTAGGACCCAGAATCAGGAAGGCAGCTGATTAGTTACTAAAATTGCTAGCCTAAGTTGCAGCCACTGTTGGCCTCACTTACCTGATTTATTAAAAGCTTTTTCCCACATATTTCAGAAGTTGTTTTAAATATAGGATTAAATAAAATATGCAAAAGCTTAAAAAGTAGAGTATAATAAAATACTTTGAGAAACACAAAATATTAGTATTAATATAGTACTGTAAATATTTCATTATAGTTCCAAAACATATTCAGATTAAAATATTAGTTTAGCCGAAACTGGTTTGGCTTAGTGGATAGAGCGTTGGCTTGCGGACTGAAAGGTCCCAGGTTCGATTCCGGTCAAGGGCATGTACCTGGGTTGCGGGCACATCCCCAGTAGAAGATGTGCAGGAGGCAGCTGATTGATGCTTCTCTCTCATTGATGTTTCTAACTCTCTATCTCTCTCCCTTCCTCTCTGTAAAAAATCAATAAAATATATTTTAAAAAAATAAATAAAATATTAGTTTAAAAAAACAAGACAAATTTCTGAAATACTTTAAGTTGTGGTTTAAAGTAACAGAACTTTTTTGCCTGATAGATTTGAAAATCAACATCCTTATATCAGCAATACAGGAAAATGGACAAAGTATATTTCAGAAAAAGAGAGACATTGACTCTATAAAGAATAAAATATCTTCAGTGTTCCATATTATAATATTAAAGTAAATGTGCAATAAAGAAATATTAACTTCATAAGTTCATATTTGTTAGTGTATGTGAGGTATATCCTTCAAAGAGAACAATCTATTAGGCTGTTTTTCTGGACCATAGGGCCAAATACAATTTCTGACAACAATGTGTTTGAGTTTGTTTTTCTGTCCTGTTTTTTCACTGACAATTATCCCTTTTCCAGCTCATGTCCCTTGGGGGCTTTAATGTTTCCTAACACTCCATAGGGCTTGCCAGTTTGGCCTTCCTCCCCATCATTTACTAGCCTGGAGGTCTGCCTTCGTTCTGAAAGTGAAAAATACCTAGGCTACCAGCACCTTTCCTAGCCACTGAAAATGCTCCTCATGGCCACATGTTCTCCAGGTGTTAAGGTTCTAAGTTTGTGATTTCTGTCTATAATTATTGAAAGTACATGGAATACTTTCAATCTTTTTTTAAAAATTGATTTTAGAGGAAAAGAGGGAGGGGGGAAAAGAGAGCGAGAGAGAGAGAGATATCAGTTGCTTCCATATGTGCCCCCAAGGGGGATCAGACCCACAACCTGGGTATATGCCCTGACCTGGAATCAAACCCGCCACCAACCAAGCCACGGCTCAATCTTCTTATTCATGTAGAACTAGCCCACTCAATATAGATCTATTCAAAAGGTGAAACATTATATTGGAAACACATACTGGATAGTGTTTTTCAAGAGGTTACATTTGTGATGCAGAAATTCATTATCTACAAAATTACATTAGTAAATCAAAGCAAGGGCAATATATTTTGCACTCTCAATAATTCATTACTTTGCAAGCGAAATGGTTATCAGTTGGTTTTGTAAAGTAAATTTTAAGATGTTTGGATATTTCTGTCATGGAACTAAAGAGTCTTGAATTTGTGTGGTTGGCTTATGTCTAATTACAGTGTTGTACTTTAAGAAGTACTTTGACTATATATTTATATTTATAGCACTTCATTAAAAAAGTTGTATACTGTTTCTAAAAGTGACAAAACAGCCGAGACCGGTTTGGCTCAGTGGATAGAGCGTCGGCCTGCGGACTGAAGGGTCCCAGGTTCGATTCCGGTCAAGGGCATGTACCTTCGTTGTGGGCACATCCCCAGTGGGGAGTGTGCAGGGGGCAGCTGGTCGATGTTTCTCTCTCATCGATGTTTCTAACTCTCTAATCTCTCTCCTTTCCTCTCTGTAAAAACTCAATAAAATATATTAAAAAAAATAAATAAATAAAAGTGACAAAACAGCCCTGGTCGGTTTGGCTCAGTGGAAGGAGCATTGGCCTGTAGACCAAAGGGTCCCAAGTTCGATTCTGGTCAAGGGCATGAACCTTGGTTGCAGGCTCCTCCCTTGCCTGGGCCCTGGTCATGAAACCTGAAGGAAGCAACCAATTGATGTGTTTTTCTCACATCGATGTTTCTCTCTGTCTTTCCCTCTCTCTTTCACTCTCTCTAAAATATCAATGGAAAAATTATCCTCAGGTGAGGATTAACAAAAAAAATTTTTTTAAAAAAAGTGACAAAACAAACTTTAGAGCAGATAAAAGATTTTTAGAGAAACTTACTTTATATTAATTGTACGCTGCTGATCTTCCTGCACTCGAATTGGGCATCGCCAATTGGAACAGTAACTCTCTTGTATGGTAGACATGAGATTTTCGAGATTTTTTGTAAAATTATCATGTTCATTCCCAAACAAATCGATTATTAATGAAGCTTTATGAACTTCAGATTTATATTGCTGTTTTTCCATCTTGTCCCAAATCCAAAGTAGCTTCACAGTTGTAAAACTGTAGGTGTCCATTAAATAAAGAAAACAGTCTACAAACTCTCTACCTAAATGAAGAGAGAGTTCCCTGGGAAAATTTTCATTTTCATGAAGAATGACATATAATAACATCAAGAATCCATCTATGGTGCAGGTATTTTTCAGTCTTATTTCAACATAGAGTGGTGTGCAGGATACTGCTTTGCGGCCAGCTTTGATAGTAAAAACACCTCCCCAAGGAAGAACAGGCCTCCAAAATGAGCGATCTTGATTATAGTTATTTTTAATTGATGCTTTGATCTCTTCAAACAGTGTCTTCATCCTGCATTTTAAAAATTAAAAGTAGAACATGTATGTGATTACATATATGTTTAAATGAAAATAAAGCTAAAGATTTAAATTAAATTTGGTTAGATGGCCTCCCAATGCAACAAAAATATCTTAAGACAATTCTAGCTATGAGTCATTTTGGGGGCAATATACATGGTCTTTGAAAAGACCACTTCAGAAGCTGCAACCTTTTTTCGAGGTACTGAATGGCTATTTGATAGGCTCTTATATTAATTATACTGAAGATTTTCGTCTGTGATATAGGAAAACCCACTTCTAGGAATATATTCTAAGAATCCCAAAACACCAACCAGAAAGAATATATGCACCCCTATGTTCATAGCAGCACAACTTATAATAGCTAAACTGTGGAAACAGCCCAAGTGCCCATCAGTAGATGAGTGGATAAAAAAGCTGTGGTATATTTATACCACGGAATACTATGCAGCTTTAAAAACGAAGAATCTCTTACCCTTTGAGGCAGCATGGAGGGACCTGGAGACTATTAATCTAAGTCAGAGGTTCTCAACCTGTGGGTCGCGACCCCTTTGGCGGTCGAACGACCCTTTCACAGGGGTCGCCTAAGACCATCCTGCATATCAGATATTTACATTACGATTCATAACAGGAGCAACATTACAGTTATGAAGTAGCAACGAAAATAATTTTATGGTCAGGTCACAACATGAGGAACTGTATTTAAAGGGCCAGGAGGTTGAGAACCACTGCTCTAAGTGAACTAAGCCAGTCAGAAAGATAAATATCACATAAGCTCACTTATATGTGAAATCTAATGAACTGATGAATAAAATAAAACCAGAGGCATGGAAACATGGAACAGACTGGCAAATCTGAGGTAATCTCAGAGGTAAGGAGTCTGGGGGAGTGGGCAGCAGGAGACTAACCAAAGAATTTATATGCATATATGCAATACCCATGGACACAGACAACAGGGTAGTGAAGGCCTGGGGCGAGTGAAAACCGGGTGGAGCGGGGCAATGGGGGAAAAGTGTGGGGAGACATCTGTAATACTCTCAACAATAAAGATGGGGGAAAAAAGAAACTGCAACCTTTTTTTTGGAGAGGCCTTTATATTATACCGCAGATTTTTTTCGATGATATAGAAAAACCCTGTAATAAGCAAACTTAAATGAAGGTAAAACTATTTAAAGATATAATCTAAATTTGGTTTTGGTATTCCTAATGTAAACTTTTTCCACCCTCCAAAATACAAGCTGTACTTCATTTTCTTGTTAATATGTGTGGTTTTACTTATAAAATGACTGTAATGGAACCCTTATTTGGGCTACAGAATAATTACCAATTAGCTTTGAAAGATAACATAGGAAGAGTAATCGTGAGACTTAACTGAATAGTAGCACAACTAATACAAATATTATTTATATATACTTTGGGATTTTTACTTACAATCTAGGACCCCTATATACCCAACAATTTGAGGCCATGCTGTGAAGATTTGATTCAGAACTTGGTAAGTATCTTGACGTCCTTTTCTGCATGTTTTGGGAATGAACTGAGGTGTCCTCTCTGTTTAAATTGGTACATATCCTTCCCCCAACTCTGAGGGTAGCTAAGTATTCTGTTTTTAAAGTCATTGACAGTATTCTAACAAACATGTTCATGTCATATGTATGGTTTATAGAACAAAATTTAAAAAAAAATAAAGAATGATGTCCTAATAAAACTGAATATAAAACTGCTTTACTCGGGATAAAAAAAGTCAACTAAAAACATCATAGTACTTTCCAATATATTACTTTTATGGAAAGTATATTTTTCATGAAAAAAGGGAAGCATCTGAGCAACAGGAAAAGAGAAGTGAGTGACTGAGGTCAGTGTCTTATTTTGACCATCTTTTCAAGTGCCACACCTTCCCAAGCATGACATGAATCAAACACTCAATACTTTGGACCTGTGTATTTTATTTGCATGAAAAATTTAGTTCAAGTTGATTTTACAACGGTAGTAGACTAAAAATTCAGTTATATGACATATAAACACAGTATTTTTGGCTTGAAGAAAGATATTCTACACTCTAAAGTATTCAATATTATATTTAGTCTGAAATGTAGATGTTTATACATAGTAACAGGTTGGCTCTAGTCAACCAATTAGGAATATGAGGGCGTGGCAAACCTGGAACCTAAGAAAACACAAAACTCAGTTTCTTCTTCAGAACTAACATATTTCTGGAGCAGAGTTGAAAAAAAAAATCATAAGGCATTCAAATACTTTAAAAATGAAAATAAATTTCTTCATGGTTTATTTCTGTTGAATTTTAAAGAACTTTGTAGCAAAGTCATAGGATCAAGAGCTTGAGTTCACACTCCTACATACTACATTGAAAAGGAATGGTAAATCTCTAGTGCTTTTTTTCAAATTATCTTTTGGGCATGACCAAATGAAGAGTAACTACAGCTCTACAAAGCAACATTTATACTTTGAGTTAAACTAAAATTTTATATATTTGCAATGAAACTTTTTTAGCCTTTTTCAGGAAAAATAAAAAAGAGGGGGGGTAGAGAGGACTGGAAGAACAAGAAGGCACTTAATCTAGTATCAGCACTAATGTGGTGATGTGTCCCAAAAAATTACTAAAAATTACTTAAAAAGATGAAGAAATGCCTGCAAAGCCCTGACTAGCTTTCGCCACACCTTCTAAGATTGCTCATTAGGCCCGGCATTGGACATCCTGGCGGAGTTATCCTGCCGTCTTTATTTTCCTGCCTCAACAGGCCCTCCAGTTTGAATAAATCTGCTGAACTGCCCTGACCTCTTACGGTATTTCCTTGGCAAAGCACCACATTTTTTCCTGCGGTCCTTTCCGAGGGTGACAATCTGTACCCCACATTGGTCGTGAAAACCAGACCATTTCCCCAAGGTATTGAATGCCGGACTCCCTAAAAGCTCGGGAGTCCTAAAGGTCCCGTCTGCAATCAGCGCTCTGAAATAATGGGAAAGACAGCCACGCGCCCCACCACGAAGCGGCGCGGGGCTTAAGGGTGGGGAGGAGGGGGGAGGGACGGTACACGCTGCGGGCCCGGTGGTCACCGAGCTCAGCCCCCGGTCCGCGCTCCGGACACGCCCACCCTGCCCCCTGCCCGCCGCACCCTGGAAGGCCTGGCACCGAGCACTGGCTCCGCACTGCGGGCGGGTCCCCGAAACAGAAGCCTATGGAAAGGCTGGACGCCGCTGTCTGCGTCCAAGCAGGGGCCCCGCAGAGCGCCCGGGACTGCTGGCAATGGGCT